TGCCAAAATAGAAAAATTTTTTTACTACTTGGAAACAAGCGATTTCAGAATGAAAGCTAGCCAAGAAAGGGAATTGGTGATCTTAGACTTTCAAGTAATATTTCATTATGAATTTGATATGTAAAATACGATATATGAAATTTGTAATACCCATGATGACCTTCTGAAAGTATTTGGGCTTTTTGGCACAAAAAGCCCATTTCTATACTACTCAGCCTCTGTTACTTGATGATAAAAATCGTAAAATTTTAAAAAAAATTGTTAAAAAAAATAATAAATCTTCAGCTGATATAATACAAAAGAAATTTTCAGCAACAACTGGTCAAGATATTTGTATCAAAACAATTCGGAAGAATTTGCATCAAATTGGATACAATTCTTATCGAGCTGCAAAAAACCATTTTTAAATGAAAATTAACGCTAAAAACGGCTAGAATGATGCTTAGAAAGATAAAATTGGACAATACAACAATGGAGAAATGTCATATGGAGCGATAAATCAAAGTTTACTCTTTTTCATAATGATAGTCCTTCTCAAGTTTGGCGTGAACCAGGCACTCGTTTTAATATTGAAAACCTGAATCCATTCATTAAACATGATGGGGTGTGGAGTCATGGTTTGGAAATGTTTTTCAGGCAAAGGATTGGGTCCTTTAGTAAAAATAGAAGGAATAATCAATTGGCATGATTATATAAAAATCTTAGATGATAACCTGTTGCCATTTATTGGTTCAAAGTTTCGTAACTGATCTTACAAATTTCAGCACGATAATGCACCCATTCATACAGCTAATGATGTTAAAGCATGGATTGCTAAAAAAAAATTAAAATGTTAATTAACTGGCCTGCTCAATCTTCGGATTTGAATCCCATTGAGCATCTTTGGGATCATCTTGAACATTTGTTGCATAACCATTCAGATCTGCTTAAAAAACTTGCAGATTTAGAAGTGCAACTAAAAAAAGAATGGAAAAAAATTTCGCAAGAAACTTACCTAAAATTAATTGATAGTATGTCTCAAAGAATAGAAGCATGTATTGCCAATAATAGTTGATCAACTAGATATTAATATTTTGTTAAAAAAAATGATAAACTATTTTTTCAAAACTGCTCAAATTTATTTACTATTTTTTCAAAACTGCACAAACTTATTTCTAGGTAGTGTATATACCACCAACCTGTCATATAAAAAAGATATCTCATGTTTTGATAAAAAATAATAAATTTTTTTGGAAAACAGCGAACTCGAATCCAAGATATACTTCAGAAATGGTATCTTTTATTCAATATTTCTTTTATTCATTTTTTAGTAATTGTTGCAGCAACTACTACTAACCAAGTTTTATTAAGAATTAAAAACATATTATGAGGTATTATATCACATTCTTTTTCAACACCTGAAATATAAACATAAAATAAACTTATTATATTAGACTGTAATCACTGTGATAAGCTTTTTTGATCTGACCCAGTTTTACTTTTATTTTGACCAAGGTGTCCTATATTATGTCTTATTATTCATATCATAATCGTCATTCCTGATGAAAAATTCAAACAGATTAGAATATTTATATGTCTTAATATTTTAAATAAAAATGTTTCCTAGCTAAATCTACATAAAAAATAAATTTTTTAGAAAAATTATATCGATAATTTTAGCTAGCTTTTAAAGATCCATTTTGACCATATTGGTTAAAATATCATATCATTAGAATGTCATATATTAGAATGCTATATCTATCATATAGTTCTAATTTATATATATAATAGGTTTTTTTAGCCTATTATCACTTTTATAATCTTATTTGTTAAAATGAATTTGTATTCAAATGAAAATTGAAAAAGAAATCAGAAAATTTAAAGAAATTGAAATATTGTTTATTACTAATCTATATAGTAAATATCTTTTTTATTATCGATTTAGTTTTTTTTTAATTCATTCATTTTTTTTGTTTTTAGGCTCAATTACTTTAAGATATGATTTCTTTAAAATATAATACCTTTCTTTTTTTTAGATTTGTTCTCTTTCAAGCTAAAAAGTATGAAATCATTTTTATATTTTCTTTTTTTTACTTCTTTTTTTTATAGTGGTAATAGTGAACACTTCAAAAATCTCACTAGTCATTAAATGATTGATAATTTAGTTACTTTATTTTTAGTCAAATATTGAATATCACAAAATACAGGTTTTTATTTATTTTTTGTTTAGAGAATCAGAATCATTATGAAGTATGTTTTTTCATCTTTTTTTTCATTTCGTATAAGCTTTTATATAAGTATCACAAAAGCTTTTTAAAAAATTTTTTTTTTTTTAGTGATTTTCATCAACTGTTTTTTAGGAACTGATTTTTTTCTCTTTAAGGATATAAAAAAATAAAATCAAATGAACTGATTCATAAGATATAAAAAGCAAAAAACTTGTATTTGAATATTTAATTCATTAACAAAATATTTTATTTTATGCGATAACTCTTCCCATAATATGATAAACCCTACAGGTAAAATTTTTTAATTTGAATGTACTTTTAAAATAAAATAATGATATGTAAGTAATACATGAATTAGAATCAATGCTTGAATCATAACTAAATGCAACAAAAGTTCATCAAGATGAAGAAAACAAAGTATATATAGTATTTAATTATAGTATGATATTATATAAAAGGTAAGGTATGATAAATTTTTTATACATATGATCAATTATATATAGATACACACCAATATAATGAATAATTAACATTGATCATTTAACTCTATATTTTTAGATATATTTAAGACTTTTTGATCGAACCTGTAATCACAATAATTTATTATCAAATATCTTATATATAATGAGTTTTTTGATCAAAAATTTTTTTCATTTTCTTTTTATTAATTTTTTTTATTATATTATTATTTTTTATATAATTATATCTACATTATCTGAATATATTATTGATTTAGATGAATTTGATAAATTATTAGAATATGATTCTTTTGTAAATAGAAAAGTAAAAAAAAGTTCAGTTAAATAAATTTATTAGTTACAATTTATAAGATTTTTTTATAAGAACTTAAAATGAAAAAAAATTTTTATTTAAGTAATAGATACTGAAGAAATAAATCAAAATGATGAAGAATCTAAAATAGCTAAGTTTACAAAAGACAATTTAATTAAAGATGTTAGGTACTCTTTATTTCTAATTGAATATCTACTTTGCTATCAGATTTATTTTTTTTGATATTATTATACAATCATTATATCATATATATAATTAGAATGTCAATATAAATATATATATTATTATGTATATTAATAAGGATATTAATAGGGATTTTTTATAAATTTAAATTATAATATTTATATTATATATAATTACAAAAAGATAATCATCAAGTGTTACATTATTATCTTTTTTTAACATATATATTTGCATAGATAAGATGATAATTTCATATATTACAATAGCATTATATTAAATATGTTGTATAAAATTTGCAAAGATATGCATTACACTATAAATAGTTAAGTATATTAATAAATCTATCTGCGTGATCTATATATATGATATCTTTATATTACTATTAACATATCAATTTGATTGGATGCATTTTTTTGGTTTGAGTTTGAAATAATCAGATTATTAGTTAAATAATCTAATTCTTTTACTTGTTGTAACGTATGATAATTATCCATATTAGGGTTGGTTAAACGGAATACTTCATGTGTTAAATATAAAATAAAAGCTTGTTTTGAAAATATCTTTAAAGGGTCAATAATGGTTGGATCATCTAATAATTCATCTTCTTTAATAACAGCTAATTGTGTAAAGAAGATATCTTTAAAAAGGTCATTAGTAATATATAACGATATTATATCTTCACTTGGTATCATATCAATACTTGAAATGCTATTGAAATAGTTTAATAATAATTTAATTATAATTTATACACAGTGATTGAAAAAATATACCTGTTAATTTTCATGTATTCCTTCACATAAAAACTAAGATCATTATTAAATCAGGAATGGTGTTATACCATATATTCTAATCATTATTTTTTTCTTGATCAGGTAGCAGAATTTTTGCAATAGCTATAATCACAGCAGAACCAGGATTTCAGCTCCTTAAAAACAAGATCTTCATTTCTTCGCATATATCAGAGATATGCTCACTAGTAATCTAGATTAAGCCAAATTTAATAGCAAATATAACAAATATAACTATTACAAAGATATATATATAATGAATATGAACTTACTCCAGTAATTTCTTTATTAAATATATTAGATATGTGTTCTCTTATTGACCTTATTGTTGAATTCATTTCAGGTGAGAGACGATGAATTTGATTTCTTTATACATTCTCTCAATCACCTTCATTATCATAATGGCGCTTGTTAGATTTATTCAATTATATTTGATCATCAATAATACTTTCTTGACAGCTTTTAAATTCATTTAATTGTACTTGATTATTAATAATCTCTCGAGAATAAGTTTACATGTTTAAACTATAAGATTTTGTAGGTAATTTTCTTGGATAATCGTTTTCTTCAGTATTCAATCCTTTAGAAAGTCGTTTGGTAGGTAACAATCTAAAATTCAAATCAGATTGATCATCTTTATTATAATTTTCATTAGTTGACCTAATAGATAAATTTGAATAGAGATATTCCTTTCTGTTTAATAATGACCGATCAGATGAATCAAGATTTTGGTGTTGATGATCCTTCCTATTTAATAATAATCGATCAGTTAAATTAAGATCATTTCCATTTTGATCATGATCCTTTTTAGCTTTTTCTTTTGAAAGCAGTGATTCAAAAGCATATTCTAAATCACCTCCTTTGGTTTTTTTTTTAGAAAGTAATAAGATAAGAGCAGACTCAAGATCATCATCAGATTCATTTTGTTGAATATCTAGAACTTTGTCTTGAACAAATATATAATCATTTCTGAAATCTTTTTTGGATGTTGAAGCTTGTTCTCGATCATTATCATTCTCTTGAATATTATCAGGTTTCATAGCTTTATTGTAATAATTAAATTTATATTTTAATTTATAATTTTTAATAAATTTTAATTCACAATAAAAATCTTTCAATTATTCAATAAATTAAAAAAAACTTTACCAGAAATTTTAGCCTTTTTTGTCCTTCTAGTGGCTCGTGTATTTGTTACATTAGATTTTATATTAGTTATCTTAGGCGTTGATAATTTTGGTACCTATTTTATCCTTTATGACATATTATAAAGAATTTGCGTATACAACTAGAAAGAGTTACTCACGTATTAAAGCGTATAAAATACATCAATTTATATGTAATATCGAGATCAATGATCGAAATTATGAATCATAACATAGGACAATATAAGGGCGATCAGTAGAAAAGGGGAAAATCCACTTTTTAGTCAAAAATTTTTTTATTGGTTTACTCTGCTGATCATGGTCATGTGAACAAAACTAGCTTAATAACTAAAATTAATCAAAATTTGTAAATTTCCCCCTTTTCTATTGATCTCTTTCCATATAGTTAACAGATAAAATACAATATGATTAAAATCAAAAAAAATTATTTTTCTCTGTAACCAACTTTAGTTTAATAACAAATAAAAAAAATAAAAAAATTACTAAAAAGAAACTTTACGAAAGAGGAATAACACTATTGAAATTAATTTTATTTTTATTTTTAAAATGGTTAAAATTACACGTAAAACGATGCAAGAAGCAAATTTGCGTTAAGTAATATGTTCAAAAATTGGTAAAAGAGTCAATATTCGAAAAGTTGTTCACTAGCATTTTGCAAAATATAATACCAATACAGCTTCCTTATACCAAAGACCTGAACAAATTAATTCTACAAATAATGATTTGATCCTGAAAATTAATACTAATATATTAAAATATCCACAATATAAGAAAAATACCATTATAACTGTTGATGGTATACGAAATGTTGCTTAAGATGATGATTCATCCATAAATAAAATTATTTTAACGAAAACGAACAAGAGAATCATTCTGATGACCATAAAAACAATAATAATATTAGTAATGATCAAGAAACTTATTTTTATGAATCGGATAAATGTTATGATAATGATGATTAAGAATCTTATTTTTATGAGTCAGATAATAATGATCAAGAAACCTATTCTCAAGGGTCAGATGAATGTAATGATGATGATGATAATGATAATGATCAAGAAAATTGCTTTTGGAAATATGATGAATGCGATGATAATAGTAATGAAGATATATCTTTTATATTTAAAAATCAATATGATGGACTTCAAAATACATCATCTTATCACAGTAAAGCTAGACCTTACTTTCTAAATAAATCCATGATATTGATATTTATCTGGTATACAAAACATATGATAGGTAATAACAAGTAGATTTTTTTTTGTATTCTTTGACAATTAACTAACCAGTCAACCAATAAGATCTCATGCTTACCATGATTTAGTAAAAATTTTACGACATCCAGACTTTTATATATCTGATCTACCCCTCAGTATCATAACACTAAAGCAAATGCGACATGGTCTTCCATTGATAGTTCTAAATAGTCATAACGTTAATATTAATTTAATGGATACCTATCTACATCTGCTTCTTTTAAAGAAGGTTATATATTTTCTATTATTGATCACATTCAACGCATTTTTAACAATCCATTGATTTATCTAAAATTATACTTTAGTCTAGCGTTGAAGCTTTAGAAAGATTAGAGTTATAGTATAGACAAATATAAAAAGAATCATCACTATTTAGCGAAACATCACTTATAATCAATGATGATAATATTTACAATTTTATAATGTTATAATCATTTATTTTTTAAACCATTTTATGATACAATTTTTTAGTACTTTATCAAGCTGGAGACTTTATACTTTATAATATTCAGAATGAAATAACTGTGATTTAGCGATTGGGGCAGATTAATAATATTGTGATACTAAATGAGAACAGTAAAGAAAAGTTAGTGTATATTCAAAAATCGTGTATTATGCAGAACTTTCAGGCAATATTAGATCATCTAATCATTTAATTCAATCAAGAAATAATACTATCTGGTTAACCGAGAATCGGGAAATAATTCATACAAAAGATATAATTTGTCATGTTAAGATATGGCTTGAAGATTTACCAGAACCTGCAAATTATGATTATCATATTAGGAAAATTCTGTATATGCATAATAATCGATCAAAAATTAGGCAAATACATCAACGACATAAATTACTATGTCAGTATAATTTCCAAAGGCTACTTCTTTCATCTAATTTATAACATTTAAAATTCTTTATTGATTTATATTATGATGACTTTGGCGCATTTGGCAAGGCATATCATAAGCTTAGCAGACTTTATATATAATTTGAGACATGTCACTTTTGATGAGATAACGTCTCAAAAATTATTTTTTAGTTAGCTTAGTCCTGTTTAGTGTAGAATTTGTAGATTTTATTAAGCCATTTATTCAACAAATGCAAAAATTACAAGATGGAATTATTATGATTAATTGTACTAGTAAAAGAGTTTTAGTTTCTGGAGGTCTCAGTATGTGTACTGCTGATTTGCTACAAAACAATGATATAGCAGGAGTTTGGCGGAATAATGCAAACTATGAATGTCATTCATGTAAAGTAACTCAAGAAATGCTTAATGATCCGTATTTTGATATTCAAGCAAATGGTAGATACTGTCATATTGCAGATTTTCATTTTCAAGAAATTAAACACGCATCTACAAAATCTGCTAAAGAAAATGTAGCAAAATGATATGGATTTTGCGTTAAAAAAAATATCTGTGATCATCTTATTCATAATCGATATACACAGATACCTCAAGACCCTTATCATTATTTGGCAGGTTTAGTACGTCATCTTTTTGATGAGACATTTAAGTCAATGAATGATGAAAGACATAAGAGTTTATAAAAATATGGCGAGCGTTTGAGATACCTTTTACTTGAAAAAAATTACAAAACCCAATCATCCACTGAGATAGTTACTGGATGAATGATTCACTATGCCTTACCATGATAATGCCTTATATTGTGAACGGGTAAATGTGACGCAACTTATGTAGCGCAGAAGATCGATGAATGTGACATAAGTGATATATATGATATGTCAGACATATGTAGCATAACTGACATATTAGACATAGTTGACATATTAGATATAGTTGATATATTAGACATAGTTAATATGTTAGATATAG